ATGTTTCTAACTTTTTATGTGGCTTTTAAAAATAGAACTGGGCTCAGCTGTCAGTCATGAAGTCAGATTAGATCTGGTATGAACGCAGCTCTTGACTTGATTCTGTTACATTAGGTGAAGCGGGACTTGAAGACGGGAAATTCAAAAGGATTTGGGTTTGTGAGGTTTACAGAGTGGGAGTCTCAGGGTAAGGTGATGTCACAGCGGCACATGATTGATGGCAGGTGGTGTGACTGCAAACTACCCAACTCAAAGGTCAGTGGGGGGTTTTTTTTTTTACACTACCATTTAAAAGTTTGGTGTAAGATTTATTTTAAAATATTTTTGAAAGAAGTCTCTAATGCCCATGAAGGTTGCATTTGTTTGATCAAATTTACAGTAAAACAGTAGTATTGTGAAATATTATTACAATGTAAAAAACCTATTATATTTTAAAATGTAATTTATTCCTGTATTGGCAAAACTGAATTGTTAGCAGCCATTTCTCCAGTCTTCAGTGTAACATAATCCTTTAGAAATCAATCTAATATGCTGATTCGATGCTCAAGAATCATTTCTTATTATTAGTAATTTATCAATGGTTGCACTGCTCAATATTGCTTTTGGAAACCATGATACTTTCAAAATGTAGTTTTGTAACATTGTAAATGTGTTTTTTGTTACTTTTGATCAATTTAATGAACCCAAGCTGAATTAAAAAAAAAAAGTCTTACTGACGTCAAACTTTTGAACAGTAGTGTATATGATGAATTATATATGATACTTTAAATCAGTTAGCCATTTATTAAAAGAAATGTCAGGTTTTCTCTTTTTGGGGTGCTAAACTGAGTAATCTGTTTGAATATTTAACAGCAAGGTCCAGATGAACCAATGAGGAGCAGGAAAGTGTTTGTGGGCCGTTGCACAGAGGACATGACCGCTGATGAGCTCCGTCAGTTCTTCATGCAGTATGGGGAGGTCACAGATGTTTTCATTCCTAAACCTTTCAGAGCGTTCGCTTTCGTCACCTTTGCAGATGACCAGGTAAGCTATTGTTGTTTTCACATCGATTTTAAGGTGATAAACCCCTGTTTACAAAAAAAAAGAAAGAAAAGAAAACAACTGCAACAAATTGACAAAGGAAGTTCTTTTCCTAACAAAAATTTTATAAAAATTTGCATGCTTTAAAGAGGGCCTTATGATGCAATTTCAAGTTTTCCTTTCTCTTTGGAGTGTTACAAGCTGTTCATGCATAGATAAGATCCCTAAAGTTGCAAAGACTAAAGTCTCAAACCCAAAGAGATATTCTTTATAAAAGTCAAGAC